TACTTATAAAAGTAAATCGTACAAAGCAGGGTAAGGGGAATTACGAGTGCCAGAATGGGGTGGAGTCATAGTTGTCAGCTGAGAAGATGAGGTTGGGAACTCTGCAGGTCTGGGAAAGGGTGTTTCAGGAAGAGGTGGCATAGGGCGCCAGCCTGAGGAAGGAGCACGTTTGGTATGTTCGAGGGATCACCAGGAGGCCAGTGTAGGTGGGGAACAGTGAGGGCTGGGTGAGCACCATATGTCAGGGAGGCAACATGGAGCCCAGAATACCAGGTCTCGGAGGCCACTGTGAAGACGCTGAGTGAAATGAGAAGTTAGCGGAAGTTTTGAGCTAACCTGTGATGTGACCTGATTCATTTTTTTTGAACACTGTGATGATGGATGGATGCAAATAAGGAGGTGAGGAGACAACTTGGGAAGCTCACAATAATCCAGTCACGAGCTGCTGGGGATCCATGGAGACAGAGCAGACTAGCAGTGGTCGCCAGGGCCCAGGGTGGGGTTGGGCTGGGGAGCAGCTGCTTAATGAGATTGGGGTTTTCTTTTGGAGTCCTGAAAATGCTCTAAAAAGAGATAGTGACAGTGGCTGCCCAACGCTGTGAATGTACTAAATGTCAGCAAAGGCAAATTTTACGTTATATGTATTTTACCATGATTAAAAAGAAAAAAAAGAGTTGATGGAGGCTGGGGCTGGGATGGTGACAAATGAATGTTGACAGAAGATATAAGATTCCAGGTCTGTTTTGAAGGTAGAGCCCTTGGGACTTCCAGATTGGGAATGAGAGAAAAGAGGAAAGTCAAGTCAAAGATGATTCTGGGCAAATGGAAGGATGGAGTTTTCATCAGCTGAGTTGGAGAAGATTGTGGGTACAGAAGTTTTTTGGGGGAAGATCAGGACATTGTTTTTGGACATACAACATTTGAGTTGCCTAATCAGTACAGAAATGAAAAGGTTGAGTGGGCAGTTGACTATGAGTCCAGAGTTCAGAGGAGAGGTCTGGTGTGGACACAGGAATCTCAGAATCAACCACATACTGACATGTAGTCTTTAAAAACCATGAGACTGGGTGAGATGAATCAGGATTCAGGGGCAAGAGAGAAGTTGCAAGGACTGAGGCTTGTCCTTTCCAACATTAAGAGGTCAGGCAGAAGGGGAGGGACCAGTGACTGAGACCAAGAGGGAGCCACCAATGAGACAGGAGGAAACCAGCAGAATGTTGTGTCCTGGGTGCCAACTTCACAAAGGGTTTCCAGTAGGAAAGAATGATGAATGAAGGTCATTGGTGACCTTGACAAGAGCAGTTTCAATGGAGCAGTGGAGATGGAAGCCTCTTTGGAGTGGAGTAGAAGAGAATGGGAGAAAAGGCCTTGGAGATGGCAATCCACACAACTTGTTCAAGGAGTTTTACTATAAAGGGAAACAGAAATGGGATGCTAGCTGGAGAAGAGAAGAATTTTTAAGATGGGAGACTTATCACTTTGTTTCTTTGTTAATGGGGATGACCCGATAGAGAAGTTGATCATGTAAGAGAGAGAATTCCTGAAGCAACGTCCTTGAGCAGGCAAAGGGCGAGCCTCAGGTAGTTCATCTGAGCAGCAGGCAGGAGGGCGGGGAGTGGGTGCTAATGCTGGTGGATACATACATACGTACATACCTTATANCACAGAGGTCTTATGAACTATCCCTCAGCCATGCCCCTGCTGTGTTCCTTTGACCTTATGTTTAAGTGTCGCAACCTGAGTGTGACATCTGGGAGGAGAGCACAGCCTCTGGAGACTGCAGTCTCTCCACAGGCAGCTGAAGACAGACATTCCTCCACATCCCACGCTCACTCATGCGCAACTCTGGGGTGGAAAGTTACCTGTAAAGACCAAAGGAAGGGCGGGACAGGGTGAGAGGTCACATCATTTGTGCTTTTGAATTACTGTCCCTTTATTCTTCCTCTTGGTCAGTTCTGGGGATGCCAGACACGGTGGAAGAGATGTGTCCTGACCTCCCCCAGCTGGAAGGCCTGATGAAGGAAATCAACGACCTGGCCGAGTCGGGGGCCCGGTACACGGAGATGCCCCACATCATCGAGGTGATCTTGCCCATGCTCTGCAACTACCTGTCCTACTGGTGGGAGCGAGGGCCCGAGCACCTGCCGCCCAGCACTGGGCCCTGGTGCACCATGGTCACCTCTGAACACCTCAGTGTCATCTTGGGCAACATTCTGAAAATCATCAACAACAACCTGGGCATCGATGAGGCCTCCTGGATGAAGCGCATTGCAGGTACCATAGATGCCTTTCTCCCTTGGCCCTGGCTCAGGGACCAAGATGCCTAGATTCTCTTTCTACCTCTTAGTCTATCTCTATTTCCTCCTACACCCCTTAGTTACTTAACAGTAAAATGAATCCACTTACTCCCCTGTAGAGCTTTTTGAAGCAAACATTCCTGCCCCACTCCCCAGCTAATCCAGGCCCCTCAGACCTCCAGGAAGCCCTTCTTGATAAACTCTACCTAACTCAGACAAGCATTGCTTCATTCGCCTTTGGTACGTAAGAGTCTCATTTGCTCTTACAGTAATAATTGTCCATATTTTCTTGGTAAGCGATCCCGTATATTCTCCACATGTAGAAAACTCACTCTTATCTGGGCTCTACTGTAAGTTCTTAGCATCTGTATTTCCCTTTATGCTTTCTTGAACACTCTCTAACTTAGGTTCACAGTAGTATCACTTCATGGGGTATTTTTGGAGGGGTGCTGGGGGGTATTGTATTTCCCTGGAAATCATTGCTTGCAGTAAGCTCTTAATGAATGTTGTTAGCTGATTTTGTGTTCCTGAAGCAACCTCAAAAAAGGAAAGGCTTGGAAAATGAATAACCATTCTTTCCACAGTCAAGAAACCATGAATATTTAGTGTCCTCTGTGTCAAAGTAGAGCTTGAGGAGATAGAATCTAAGGCAGTCATTGCATTTGATGGACCTACCATTTAGATAGAGGACTCCACCGTAAAAGCTGCACCAGTATCATCTAGACCATGCGTGACGCACAGTGGCTGGGTCAAAGGGCGCTATCAGCACAGCTCTGGGCATTTCCCTTCCCGGACAAATAAGTCGCGTTCCTCCACAAGACCAAGGAAGAAAAGTTCCTACCTTCTTCCTTTCTCAGAAATGAACTAAGATCAAAAATATAAATATTCTGGGTGCTGATGGCTGCTAGATAGCAT